GGCCACATATGGCGGGGCTTGCGTACCCCAGCAGCCCCGGTCGCAGGCCAGTCGTGCTGCCGCCAACACGGCGATCGTCTGGCAACACGGGACGCATGCCATGGCCACGTATTTGGCCTACTAAGGCCCTGAATCACGCGGCTGCTAAGTCGCGCGACATTATTTTAGGTAGACTAAGTCTAGCTTTAGTCTTATCATGACCGCGCACTACTGCGGCCTCGTCGAGAACCGCGGACGACAAGTCGTACTGCTGACTCGCGCTGTTTCGAACGAACGTCGATGACGTCACACGTCAACGACGTCAGGCTTTAGGTTTCTCAGTTATAGGGTTGGTATGAATAACTTTGGCAACGTCAATCTCATCATGTTCCTCAAATCCAACGAAAAAAGTCGGACAGTGTCTGACCTTGAAAAACTCGGGCAGAAACCCCCACAGGAGTTTCTGTCCCGACAGCCTTCCCCGCCCCCATTAAGCGACGTCCTCGTCGCTTACCATAAGGCAATACAAGGAGAAGTTTTTATAAGACCTCACCGGGATGCTAAACTGAGTGACGAGCATGACAATGACGAATGGCGCACAAAGCACAAGACTGCTACGTGCACGATGATGAAGACAGGTACAACAATAGGGGCGAATGCTTCATTGAACACTAACCCCTAGCCGCTTCACATCAATGTGCAAAATGAGAATGAATCGTGCGCTAATATTGGGAAAAATACATTTCCCTTCAAGCTTCCCCTTCTACACGCGACACTTACACACTGTATCACTAAAACCATGCCACATCTTCAAATCTGCCTTTACCACCTATCTTACCTCGCCTAGAACCTCCACTTCCCATCTTCATACGCCCGTTTTCGTTACATATCGGCCAAGATACCACATTTCCGCTCCCGCCATATCTTATTCCTAATGCCTCCGCGCAACCTCTTCTCCTACTAACTCTTACTCTACTAGTCTAACGTCAAAACCAATCTTACCATCTCATTCGCCCGGATCCAAAACCCCTATTTAGTATCTTTCCTTGTCCGATTCCATCAAGAATCGCCGAGTTACACACTTTCCATCCTCGTTCACCACCCTCTTTTGACTTCGTTTCTCCTCCCCTGTTGTTGATGTCAAACCCACTCCTTAGCACATGATCCTACAGCTCCGTAGTAAGGTGGTCCCACACTTCCTGCTATCGTGAGTGAAATTCGGAGGAAACAGATACTAGCCGATTCGATAAATCTTTCGCCCATATACCCAGTCCGATAACGCACCTAACTCATCCACACACTCGGTATTAGTCTGACGTGAAAATGCGTAGTCAATTGATCCGACATCATCGTTCCCGCTGCTCCAGATAACTTTTCCCTTCATTTCCCTTAATGTACTTGGCCAGTCTCACTATCTAGATGCATCCATATCCGACTAGAGGGAGGGACAAAACTTATGGACATCTCCCTAGTTCCTTTGGCCTACCCTCACATTAAGACTACGCCACCCTTTTTCGTATTGCTTTAACTTTAATGGATGTCCCAAAGAGAAGCCCGCAGGCACGACCAAGAAATACCTCCTCCAAACTCAATGTCATTCATAAAAGAATAGAAATCCGTACCCAGGGGGAGGGACCATCGGCACGCCTTTGTCCCACCAGTTGGTCCCAAGGTCGGGGCCGACGACGAAACCGAGGGCGATAGCCTCGCCACACCCTCATCCTCTCGGTTTCTTGCTTACCGCTCCACCGCTCCAGTGTCGCTTTCGATCCTTGAATCCGCAGCATGAAAGTCCGACACCGTAACCAATAGTGCTAGGCCCAAGGTTGGGTTTACCACTAGCGGACACCTATATAAACGGGTGCCGCTCGACGCGGGGGCCTACTATAACACTCTAGGGCCACACCTTGGTCTAGCAACTAAACCCGTGCTCGTCAAGCTCCCGTGTCTACCGCGTGGAGGCCCGTTCCATGTTTTTATCGCACCGTTCACTCTGTTCATCACAAAAAAACCGTACTGCCGTCAGAGTCGTCCTCCACATGAGCGCACGTGCACCATGCTCACATCAATGAAAAGGATCACTTAGTCCTAGTTTAATCAAAGTCAAGAGTTGGTCGGCGGATGCGCAGGCTCTATAACATCAATAAGAAACATCACGCGCGCCTCGAAACTGCGCGTCCACACACTCTCGCCTTTCTAGTCAAACATTCAGTCAGAGCAAGAGAAAATACAGCCGCGACTCGTGCGGTGCACTCAAATTTCAAGTTAAAACTTATTTTCTGTCACTTGCAAAAACCAGGGCAGATACCCTTGTAAGGGCATTCGCATGGGACCCAGCAATGCTATAGATGCAGTGCTACAAATGCAATGCTACAAATGCTACTGCAGCAGTTGTGGGAGCCGACTATCCTCTTCATTTTCCTTTCAACTTTAGGCTATGCTCTCCATATGGTGAGCAACAGGAGCCATGACCATGGACCCCACCACAATGAGAAGAGAGGTGGTGAGGTCACGAAAGATGATGCTCAGGGTGTTGCATACTGTAACGTGCAGACCAGAACAAGAACCGACCTTTCAATACAAAGTATAAGATAGCACAACGGAAGACTTAGATACCAGTGATCCAAACAATCAATGTTGAAATGCAGCCCTGAACATACATCATCATCATCGTTACATGGTGTGAAATGGGCCTCGCGCTTCACACAGGAAGACTGCGTCAGCCCATACCATACACAGACGAAGAGGAAGGGGATAGACGAAGAGGAGGGGGAAGATGGGAATGTCGTCAACACCAAGTCTTCGGCACAAGCCCAAATAGTCCCTCGTCGAAATGTCTAAATCCCGAATGTCAAGTCTGGATCCAATGTCATCAAGTCTCTACTCTGTCTCTCTCTGTCGTAGTCTGAGAAGTCAGGTGGCGAGAGGGTGAGAAGAGAAGGTGGACTAAGAAGAGGAAAAAAAAGAACTCTCTCTCTCTCTGTGTCCAATACTAACCTGTGAAGTTGGCGCCTTGATGCAGGTACCACGAAGATGGAGCTGGAGCGATGGCGCCACAGGTAAGTAACACTGGCCTCCGCCAGTCTCTCTCCCACTCTACGATCTACCACCTACCAGCGCCCAGCGCTGAAGACTACAGCTACAGCTATGGCGCCCTGCGCCGAAGACTACAGCTAGCGCTACTACTACTAGCGCTGAAGACTACTGCAGCGCTCCTCCTGAGTGCTGCGGCCGAATCTTGAAGACTACCCGTGCCTACTGACACTACCTACCCGTGAAGTGCATGGGAACTTCCTATGCACTACGGGTGTGCCTCCTGAGCCTGCCGAAGGGAGGCAGGGGCTGCAGCTGCAGCTCCTGCTCAAACTCGTGAGGAACAGGCTATTTCTGGTCTGTTCCGCATCCCTGTTTACGTGCCTGAGTCTTAGGGGCAGGTCGAAACAATGAGGGCCTGAAAATGGCCCTCCGTTTCAGGCTGAAAACTCTGGGTCTGAAAAGACCCAGAAATAGGCTGAAACGGGGTAGGGCCTGCAGGCCCTCGTTTTTCAGCATCCAGGCTGAAACGAACGGGGCCTGTAAGCCCTAAGTTTTAGGCTTTTAGGCTGAATGTCCGGGACGGGCCCTGCAGGGCCCGTGTGGCTACGCAGTATGCCACAGTCAGGTGTGCCCTTGGCAGAAGCCCTGCGTGCCACATGTGTTCAACATATTGATGTCTCATGGATTTCTGCAATTCACATTAAGTATTGCATTTATTGCGTTCTTCATTATTTCGAGATCCAATATATTAGCCATGATTTCTATGATATGGTGCTGTTCCAACAGGACCGCCCCCCAATCTAGGAGAGGACAGGGTAGTCAACCGGGGCAGCGAATGATCAGAGCAAGTTACAAAGGCCGTCCCAACCGCAGCCTCCACAGTTCCATCTGGCCCCTGTTTGGGGGAGAAAAGCTGCATTGTAGCAAGGGGATCAGTCAATCAGTCCACATAGAAAGGAAGGATGAGATCAATGGACCACAGTAGTACCCATCCGGTTTGGTTGAATGAGTAGTAGCCTACTACAGCTCTCTCTTCCACTAACACCACCTGTATTCACTCTCTTCTGTATGTGAATCCCCATCACTTTGTCTCCGGACAGGTCAAGGCATGCCTGTACTGTCCAAATGTTGCCCATGGCTGATGGAAAGTTGTCAGAAGTGTGACAGAACTGCCAATGGAGAGTAGAGTGCTTAGTGTGCTGTAACAATGATTGGGCGGAGGGAAGGTAGCCCTGATTTGAAATGAGTCACTACAATTTCAGGACTCTTGGCAGCTTGGAAAGGAATAATGATGGCAAGAAATCATGTTCCTGTGGAGGCGAAAGTTTCACAGTTCCAAAAGAAGGTACCGCACAGAGTCACAGACACACACACAAAAAAAAAAAGATAACAAAGAAAAAAGAAAGGTACTGTACACACATGAGCAGATGCATTAGCAATTTAACACAAATTCAACGACAGGGGATTGGATAGAAATTCCATGGGGAAGGAACACCAGAATACATCCAGACTTTGCACAAATGTAGCTCTAGCAGAGGCTTCATAACTGGTAAGTTGGTAAGGGATCAGTTCTGCAACAGGGGCCTTCTCTTTGAGAACATATTTCTCTGCAAATGTCGAAAGACCGATGGAGAAGTTGACTGGGAGATTAACTGAGGGTACTGGAAGTGCAGTGTAGCTGCAGCAGGCATGAGAATTGTTTACAAGATCAGCCTTGGGTTCATCTAAGCCTGTGAGATTCCCAAGCTGCATACACACTGAAACGATTGACACCAAATGTTTTTGGTGGGTTTGCCATCAAAGTGCCGAACAAATAGAAAGAAAGACAGCAAACAAGGACAACTTAGAACATGTATAAAGGAGAACGAAAACACATCTAAGAGTTTAGGTTCGGAATAAGTTTGGAAAACATCTGTGTTTCTCAGCCGAACCGAAGCATAAGTATTAAGTAATGTCAAGAGACCTGCAGTAGGTGTAGAGAGTACCTGCTGCCGCAGCTCCTCTATTCGCCTCTGCTTGGAGTCTGTGTCCACCAGCAAACGGTCCCAGAGTTGTCCAGGGGTTCTTGTCAACTGCTTTGCTAGCTTGCTGCATTTGATAGGAGACAAGAGGCACCATGGAAAAATATCAAACTAAATCAGATTGAGAGAAGATTGTCACAGTGTCTCTTAATTTTCTTCTTGCAATGTGTGAAACAGCAGGGAAAAAAGGAGTGCGAAATGAAAGACGGAGAAGTCTTACACCCTTCACACTAACACAACGTAAAGCAACACCTCTTTGAAGTTATCTAGTTGCTTTTCTGACATGATAGCTACTGAATGACTTACTTCACCCAGTGTGACTCACAGATCCATCGATCTTTAGAATGCATGTTAACGAAGACCATGCAAGGGCATGTAATGAAGGACAAGCGTGTGCATAAACGTGCACCACAGCAGTGGAAGACTGAACCATCAGAGACATGAGAGACAAGAGGGAAATGCCATGACCAGACAATGTGAAAGATGAACAACAAGCACAAACAGGACAAAACCAGTAGCGCACGCGCGCGCGCACACACACACACACACACACACACACACACACACACACACACACACACGCACACAGTGCGAGGAGGATCAGAGAGTGTTTGCTGTGGGTTTCATTCCCCCGGGTTTCTCTTTCGGAGCACATGGAAGAATGGGGTGCCTTCAAGGGTGTTTTAAGCAGTACCGCTCCTGGTGTCGTGTGGAGATCTTTTAGACTTTGGCATAGTTCTCGCAGTGGCCTCGCTGTAGCACTAGGACATCATCCGATTCTGAAGGTTGCATGACAGGGGAAGGTTCATGACACTCTTGGTGTTGCGTACAGGTCCTGTGGTGTATTTCTGATTTGTGGTACAATTTATTTAGACCATTGGTGTGTGTAGTCGGTGCTTTTTTGTTACTGGAGCCTTTTGAGTTATGCTGTTCGGTTTGTTTAATTAAGTTTGTGGTTTTGTGGGCCGACACAGAGGGCTCTCCAAGTTCTTTGGACCTATGGCGGATGGGGTCGGTTACATGCTGAGCCTGCACACGGGCCCCATTTTGGGGGCCCGATGGTTGCTGGGGGCCCCTAGGCCGCACGCCCCTCAGACGTGTGCCCTGAAGGCCCAGGACCGGCCTTAGGGCCGCAGGTTTTGATTTGAGGCAGCATTTATTTATTTATTTATTTATTTATTTATTTGCTGTCCTATTTTTGTCTGTCCAGGCGTCGTTTCGGACTTGCAATTCGTCCGAACAGACCTTCGGAACAGACCTTCGGTTTGTTCGGACAAAGGCCACGTTTTTGGCCTGGTACGGACATAGGCAGGCCCTGTTGGGCCAGGTCCGTTTTCGTCCAGTAGCGGACGTCCCTGCGGCATCAGCAGGGAAGGTCTGAATGTCCAGTCGGGCCCCAGATCCGGTAGGCCACGTTTTGGCCGAAGACCAGAGGCACACGGAGGCACACCCGTGAGGCTCAGCGCTACTTATAGCCGGGCCACGCCTGGGCAGACACACAGTTCGAGTAGCTCACTTCTTGGGCGACAGGCTGCTGGAGCAGCCCGACACAGCGCTGCGCTGTAGGCGTAGGTAGGAGGTAAGGCGGAGGCCATACCTGCGTTCGCGGTACTTACCTGGGCGCCATAGCCACACTCCACGCCGACGACCTGCACAGGGACCACAACAGCAGTTAGTACATGGCGGCAGTTACCTGCAGGTGACACAGCGAGGAGGACGACATCTTCTTCTTCTTCTTCTCCGTCTCGCCCTCCATCTCTTCTCCCTCCTTCCTCCTCCTTCTTCTTCTTCTTTTTCTTCTTCTTCTCCTTTCAGAGAGAGAGAGAGAGAGAGAGAGAGAGAGAGAGAGAGAGAGAGAGAGAGAGAGAGA